ACTGAGGCCAACAAAAGCAAGGTTTGTAGCATGAATTACCATCTTCTAGGTCCTGAATATGAGTTACCGTGAGCTAGGAAAGCAAGGTTCAAAGGGCCAATGAACAGAGGCCAATGTATCAACCCCCTCTCGGAATTTCTGGGCCACGGCTGTTTTAAATTAGCTTCTCAATGCTGCCTCCATGAAACTCTTGGCTTAGCACTGCAATGGAAAAGTTATTTTTATGCTCCGAATCACAGATATTTATATGGAGGCACATTCATAATTCCCATTATGCTTGTTTTCATGATGCTCTTTTCCTCTGCTTAAGATCAGTCATAGCCATCATTATTATTTCTAAGACACTTGCAAAAAGCTCTGGGCCAAGTAGAGATTCCACAGGGCCCAGATAAACGATTGTTGTACAATAGGCAGATTTTAGGTCTTGTGAAATCCTCAAGGAATACCTTTACTTCTTCTACCCACTATAGCGGCCTCTTCTTTGTCAATTCCCTACCCCCAACCACCCCTTTATTGCTCAGGGCCTTCATGATCCTGCCTGGGAAAACCTAGTGCCAAAAGTAGTTCTATTTACTCTTTATATACTCTCCCTGGGGTCTTTGAATTTAAAATGTTAGCTTCAATAATTAAATTAAGGGTTTTTATCTTCTTAAGGGACAGGAGCACCAACAAATAAGGCAAAGAGATATGTCTGGTTAAGAGGAGCATGATTCTTAAGTAACAACATAGTTATTCTATAGAAAGGTCCATCAGTAGGCCAGGAGGGCTCCAAGAGCTGATACAGATGCAAAATCAAAATGGTGGTCGAAAGCTTTAAGGAAATTCATCCAAGAGAAATCTAAATTGATTACCAAGAAAAAGTAAGATATTAGGTGTACCCATGGCCTCTCCCCAGAAGTTTCTCTGATTAAAGAGAGAGAGACACACAATCCTCATTTAAAAGAAACAGCAGCGGAGGGGAGATGATGCAAGGAGACTAACATTTGTGAGTATTAACATATGCCAAGAACTTGGTCCATATTATTTGCTGTTATCTCACTTAATCTTCAGAACAACTTTTTAAGGTAAGTTTTATTATTACTGTTTTATAGAGAATGAAATTTAGCCTCAGAGATGTTAAATAACTGGCCTAAGGCGACTGCATGAATGTTTGTGTGTCCCCCCCAAATTCATATGTTGAAATCCTAACCCCCAAAGTGATGGTATTAGGAGGTGGGGCCTTTAAGAGGTGATTAGGTCATGAAGGTGGATCCCTCAGGAATGGGATTAGTGCCCTTATAAAAAGAGGCTGCAGAGGGTGGCTCATCCCTTCCACAGTGTGAGCACACAGAGAGAAGCAAGCCATCTGCAACCCAGAAGAGGCTCCTCACCAGAACCACACCGGTACCCTCATCTTGGACTTCCAGCCTCCAGAAGTGTGAGAAATCAATTTCTGTTCTTTATAAGCCACCTAGTCTATGGTACTTTGTTATAACAGCCTGAACACACTAAGACAGCCACACATCTAGTTAGTGGCAAAGCTTGGCTTCAAACCCAGATCTGCCTGACTCCAAAGTCCATTTCTTTTCCATTATCACATAGGGCTGATGTGAGGGCCAGAGGAGAAGGCCAAGGGTGATTGCTGGTTTGGTTTCCTTAAACCAAAAAAGAATAGAGTTTGTTGGGAGAGTATGGGAAAGATATGTTTGCATAGATTTCTTTAAACATTATAAACAGGCTCTGGCAATACTGATCAACATTCCCAGAGATGCTGTCAGCCACAGGTAAAGAATCAGCCATTCAGTGTAAACCTCTCTGCACTGTTAGTCACAAGGAACACACGTGCCCAACAGAGAGAGAACATCATCGCCATGACCAAAGGGAACAGGAACCTCTCCACAGAGTCTTTTCCTTTCTACATGGATGTGAACTAGCACATTGGTTGATCATGAGAAGGTTTTAGTCGACTACTGAGAATTGAAAGGACAGCATTTGGGGACTGGAACAGTGTGTTTGGGAAATTCAGATCTCTTCTGGACTGAGAACGTGCGGCCAGATAGGGAGCAACACACCTCACCAAGGTGGAGAGTTGCCCTGTGATGGGGGTGTTAGCACTCAGTACTTTCAGGGCCCCTTCTCTGCTGCCTCACTCAGCAGCAGTGTATTTCAGATCCAGGGACTAATGTATATGCATCTACTTACTTGTATTCTACTTTACATACAACAAAATAAAATAAACTTTAAAATTAGTTAAAATCTTCAGTCAATATGGTGGATTGGTCAACACAGAAATTACCCTTTCCAATCCAAACACTTCAAAACATGAACAAAAATATAACAAAAACATTATATAAAACATAGATACAATAGAAATCTCCGGGTAGCAGAAATAAAGAGGGGAATTAAAGTTAGATCAATGAGTGGGAGCTGAAGCCAAGGGGCTGATGGAAAATCCAGACTAGTTAGAGACCTGAATGGCTGGAGGCTGAGATTTTAATGATATGCATGCAGTGAGGGGAGTCCGGGTGATGGTCACCTTATGCCAGGAGCTGTTAATGAAGCTCTTACATAAAGCTGGAGGTCATAAAAGGCTGCTTCACAGGTGAAACAGGTACAGAGGAACAGAATTTGCCAATCTGAGTCAACTGCAAGAAAGCTCGTCATCTGCTTTGGCAAGGAGTAGAAAATGAGTGATTTAAAAAATGTGAAATTTGGGCTTGTGCCACAACACAGGAACAAGGTTTAAATGCATACTTTCAGGTCATACAGGGACTATATGCCAAGAAATTAACACAAAGGCTAGTTTGGAATGAGTAAAGCCCAAAGATTACCAGCAGAAGCAACTGTGAAATTGCTTCATAAGGATGTGCTAACAATTTGAAGTAGACAGGATTTCTATGGAAAACAGCACCTGATGAAGAGGTAAAACACAAGAGGAAATGAATCATGATAAAGAAAAGTCAAAAGTGGAGATAACAAATCTAAAAATATATTTAAAATGAAAGAGACACAAAAAGGATTAGAAATTATAAGGCAAAGAAACATATTTTAAAAAAGGAAGATATCAAGTACCAAATAGAAATTCTAGAAATAAAAAATTATATTAAATTAAAAAGAAGAAATCAGTGGATGGGTTGAATAGTAGATTAAATCCAGGTGAAGAAAAATTAATAAATTGGAAAACAGAAGTGAAAAAATCACTAAGAATACAATTGAGAGAGAAAAAGATATATAATAAGAAAGAGAAATCTCAGACGTAGAAGACACAGAAGATAAAATAAGAAGGTTCAATATTTCCCTAAAGGGTGTTGTAATAGAGAATAGAAAGTGTGAGGGACTCAATATGAGGGCAAAGGCTTTTGTCTCTTATGTTCATTCCTATATCTCTAGCACCTAGAAGCATTCCTGACACGTGGTAAGTGCTCAGTAATTATTTTAAAATTTGTAGAGAAATCAACTGAGAAACCTTTAGATAAGAAAACAGAGATGAGTCTTCCGATTAAAGGCAGACACTGAATCCCAAGTAGAATATATAGAAATAGACTACCCCTGGACATATAATGAAAAGGCAGAACATGAAAGACAAAAAAAATGAGACAAAGTCTCACAAAGAAAACAGATTACCTACAAAAGAATGACAGACTGAAGAGATTTCTCATAAGTAACAGCTGAGGCAAGAAGACAGTAGAATAATATCTTACAAAATGCTGAGGGAAGAATTCTACTTAGAATTCTATACCTTGATAAATTCTCTTTCAAAAGTGACATGAAATAGACATTTTCAAAACAAAAGAAAACCAAAAATACCCATAAAATTGAGACAACTCCAGACCTTCAGTGAAAAAATGATCAGTATGAAGAAAATGAACATAGAAGTAAGGAATGGTATACAAGAGGCAATGTTGAGACAAGAAACTGGTAAAGTTAAATAAGTTTTGACTGTAAAAAGAAGAAATAAAAGTAGAAATAATAATAATGACTAATTGCTGGGGTGAGGGGAGGATTATACACAATGTGAGACTAAACCACTAGACCACAATTACCAGGAAGGTGGGGAAAAGGGCAGATTAGATTTAAAGCCATCTAAGGCCACTGCATTGTTGAGAGGAAAATAAAGACATTGATTAACTTCAGACTTTGTTAAATGAATACACATTTAAAAATTTAAGGATAACAACTAAAAGAATACAAATAGAATTTATATCTTTCAAAACAGTTGACAGAAAAAAATATGAATATACAAAACTTGATCTAAAGAAAACAGTGAAAAGAGAAACAAAAGAAGCAACAAAAAAATGGAAAAATAAGTAAATAAGAAATATAAGAACTTAAAATGGCAGAAAGATGTCAAATATATACATACAATTACAAAGAATGTAAAAGTTTAAACTATTGAAATGACAGATTTTCAGGTTATAATGAAAATGAAGCTATATATAAATGCTGTTTCTAAGATTCACATTTAGAGCAAAATGATACAGAGAAGTTAACATAAAAGGATATACAGACATACAAGGAAAATAGTAAACAAGAGGAGTAGGTATAGCAATATTAATATCAGACAAAACACAATTTAGGCCAAAGGCATTAATAGAAATAAAAGAGGACAGACATACATAATAAATCCACCGAGATGAAATAACAGTCATGAACTTGCATAAACACTCATGTGTTAGAAGAAGAAATTGACAAATCCACAATCACAGACGATTCTATTATTCCTTTCCCAGAAACTGAAGTGAACTCAGAGTGGGCAAAAAAATCAAGAATATGAGAAATTTGAAAAACACAATAAGTTTGACCTGTTAGATTGATATAGAATTCTGCATCCATCAAGTAGCAAATATATTTTTCTTATAAAGCACATATGAAATATTTGGGAAAATTGGACACAAAGGAAGTCCTAAAAAAGAATTGCTATTATACAGACCATGCTGTGTTTCCATAATGCACCAAAATTTGAATACTTTAAGCAAAGTAAAAAAATGTTTTTTTAAAAAAGTTGAAAATGGAGGGGCTGGGTGTTGTATGAAAGGACAGAAGGTTAGCACTCCCCTTGAAAAGGATGGAAGAGGCCCTCAGGCCTGACAACACACATACGGTTAAGGCATTGCCACCTACTTCGTGGCATCTAACCACTGTTTTTAAAAAGAAACAAGGGAGAAAGGGGTCACAATCCACAGACTAGGGAGACCGATGGATAGAACCAGAACAGGATAGCAAATATTCAACTATAGCATTAGGGTAAAGGTAAGGAAACTACCAAAGCAAGGACGATCTTATCACTCTAACTACAAATTCATAACACGAGTTGGAATAAGAAATGAAAATAATTATTTAGGAGGGGAAGAGCAAAGGGTCTAAATCAGTATTGGCCAAGTAAGTAAGAGACCACCAGAGAATAGACTATATTATATACAAGATTCTAAATACAAACTTCAGGGTAGACACTAAAATAAAATACAGAACAGAGTCACAAATCATAAATAAGGAAAAATCTAAGAAACCCAGCATAAGAAATTGCAGTATTCAATGGGTAGGCTAAAGCACACAGGAAAAGAAACGCAGGAAAGATTGACAGCATTAAGTCCACATGCATCAATAATCACTCTCAATGTAAACGGATTGAACTCTCCAATAAAAAGACACAGAGTGGCAAAATGGATTAAAGAACAAGATCCAACAATTTGTTGCCTCTAAGAAACACACCTCAGCCCCAAGGACAGACACAGGCTCAGGGTGAGGGGGTGGAGGACAATACTTCAAGCTAACAGCAAGAAAAAAAAGGCAGGTGTTGCAATTCTTATATTAGACAAAGTGGATTTCAAAATAAGACAGGTAAAGAGAGACACAGAGGGACAATATATAATGATCAAAGGGACACTTCATCAAGAAGAAATAACACTTATAAATATCTATGCACCCAACACAGGAGCACCAAGATCCATAAAGCAACTATTAACAGACCTAAAGGAAGATGTTAAAAACAACACAATAATAGTAGGGGACCTCAACACCCCACTCACATCAATGGACAGATCATCCAGACAGAAAATCAACAAGGAAATAGTGGAGCTAAATGAAAAACTAAAACAATTGACTTAATAGACATATATAGATCACTTCACCCTGAAAGAGCTGAATACACATTCTTCTCAAGTGCACATGGAACATTCTCAAGGATAGACCATATATTGGGAAACAAGGCAAGCCTCTACAAATTTTAAAAAATTGAAATAATAACAAGCATCTTCTCCGATCATAATGCTATAAGGCTAGAAATTAATTACAAGAAAAAAGCTGAGAAAGGCACAAAGATGTGGAGACTAAACAACACGCTACTGAACAAGCAATGGGTCATTGAAGAAATTAAAGAAGAAATCAAAAAATACCTGGAAACAAATGAAAATGATAGCATGCCATACCAACTCATATGGGATACAGCAAAAGCTGTATTAAGAGGAAAATTCATCGCAATACAGGCACATCTTAACAAACAAGAAAAATCCCAAATAAGCAACCTTAAAGTACACCTAACTGAACTAGAGAAAAAAGAACAAATAAAGCCCAAAGTCAACAGAAGAAGAGAAGTAATAAAAATCAGAGCAGAAATAAATACTATTGAAACGAAAAAGGCAGTAGAAAGGATCAATGAAACAAAGAGCTGGTTTTTTTGAGAAGATAAATAAAATTGACAAACCACTAACCAGACTTACAAAGGAAAAAAGGGAGAAAGCTCAAATAAACAAAATCAGAAATGAAAGAGGAGAAATAACAACAGATTCTGCAGAAATACAACGGATTATAAGGGAATACTACGAAAAACTATATGCCAACAGAACGGATAACCTAGAGGAAATGGATAAATTCTTGGACTCCTACAATCTCCCAAAGCTCACTCAAGAAGAGGCAGACAATTTGAACAGACCAATCACAAGGAAAGAGATTAAAACAGCAATCAAAAACATCCCAAAGAATAAAACCCCAGGACCAGATAGCTTTCCTGGGGAATTCTACCAAACTTTCAGTGAGGATTTAATACCTATCCTTTTCAAGCTATTCCAAAAAATTAGGGAAGATGGAACACTTCCTAACACATTCTATGAGGCCAACATCACGCTGATACCAAAACCTGACAAGGACACCATGAAAAAAGAGAACTACAGGCCAATATCACTGATGAACATAGGTGCAAAAATTCTAAACAAAATTTTGGCAACCAGAATTCAGCAATTCATCAAAAGGATCATACATCAGGATCAGGTGGGATTCATACCAGGGACACAGGGATGGTTCAACATCCGCAAATCAATCAACGTGATACACCACATCAACAAACTGAGGAATAAAAACCACGTGATCATCTCAATAGATGCAGAGAAAGCATTTGACAAGATCCAACAGTGATTTATGATAAAAACTCTTAACAAAATGGGGATAGAAGGAAATTACCTCAACATAATAAAGGCCATATATGACAAACCCATAGCCAACATCATACTCAATGGGCAAAAACTGAACGCCATCCCCCTGAAAACAGGAACAAGACAAGGATGCCCTCTACCACCACTGTTATTCAACATAGTACTGGAAGTCCTGGCCAGAGCAATCAGGCAAGAAAAAGGAATAAAAGGAATCCAAATAGGGAGGGAAGAAGTGAAACTCTTGCTGTTTGCAGACGACATGATCTTATATATAGAAAACCCCAAAGAATCCATTGGAAAACTCTTAGAAGTAATCAACAACTACAGCAAAGTTGCAGGGTATAAAATCAATTTGCATAAATCAGTAGCATTTCTATATTCTAATAACAAACTAACAGAAAAAGAACTCAAGAACACAATACCATTCACAATCACAACAAAAAGAATAAAATACCTTGGGGTAAACTTAACTAAGGAAGTGAAGGACCTATATAATGAAAATTACAAGGCCTTTCTGAGAGAATTGGATGACGACATAAGGAGATGGAAACACATTCCATGTACATGGATTGGAAGAATAAACATAGTTAAAATGTCCGTTCTACCTAAAGCAATCTACAGATTCAGCGCCATCCCAATCAGAATCCCAATGACATTCTTTACAGAATTAGAACAAAGAATCCTAAAATTCATATGGGGCAACAAAAGACCCCGAATTTCTAAAGCAATCCTGAGAAAAAAGAACAAAACAGGAGGCATCACAATCCCTGACTTCAAAACATACTACAAAGCTACAGTAATCAAAACAGCATGGTACTGGTACAAAAACAGGTGCACAGATCAATGGAACAGAATTGAAAGCCCAGAAATAAAACCACACATCTATGGACAGCTTATCTTTGACAAAGGAGCTGAGGGCATACAATGGAGAAAAGAAAGTCTTTTCAACAAATGGTGCTGGGAAAACTGGAAAGCCACATGTAAAAGAATGAAAATTGACCATTCTTTTTCACCATTCACCAAAATAAACTCAAAATGGATCAAAGACCTAAAGGTGAGACCTGAAACAATAAGGCTTCTCGAAGAAAACGTAAGCAGTACACTCTTTGACATCAGTATTAAAAGGATCTTTTCGGACACCATGCCTTCTCAGAGAAGGGAAACAATAGAAAGAATAAACAAATGGGACTTCCTCAGACTAAAGAGCTTCTTCAAGGCAAATGAAAACAGGATTGAAACAAAAAAACAACCCACTAACTGGGAAAAAATATTTGCAAGTCATATATCTGACAAAGGCTTAATATCCATAATATATAAAGAACTCTCACAACTCAACAACAAAAAATCAAACAACCCAATCAAAAAATGGGCTGGAGACATGAACAGACATTTCTCCAAAGAAGATATACTGATGGCCAATAGGCACATGAAAAGATGCTCATCATCGCTGATCATCAGGGAAATGCAAATCAAAACTACACTAAGATATCACCCTCCACCCATTAGAATGACAAAAATATCTAAAACTAATAGTAACAAATGTTGGAGAGGTTGTGGAGAAAAAGGAACCCTCATACACTGCTGGTGGGAATGCAAACTGGTGCAGCCACTATGGAAAACAGTATGGAGATTCCTCAAAAAATTAAAAATAGAACTACCATACGATCCAGCCATCCCACTACTGGGTATTTATCCAAAGAGCTTGAAGTCAGCAATCCCAAAAGTCCTATGTACCCCAATGTTTATTGCAGCATTATTTACAATAGCCAAGACATGGAAACAACCTAAGTGCCCATCAACAAACGAATGGATAAAGAAGATGTGGTACATATATACAATGGAATACTACTCAGCTGCAAAAGAGAACAAAATCATTCCATTTGCAATAACATGGATGGACCTTGAGGGAATTATGTTAAGTGAAATAAGCCAGCTAGAGAAGGATAATCTGTGAATGACTCCACTCATATGAGGAATTTAAAAATGTGGACTAAGAACAGTTTAGTGGATACCAGGGGAAAGGTGGGGTGGGGGGCGGGCACAAAGGCTGAAGTGGTGCACCTACAACACGAATGACAAACATTAATGTACAACTGAAATCACACAAGATTGTAACCTATCATTAACTCAATAAAAAATTAAAAAATTTAAAAAAAAAAAAAAAAAGAAAATGGAGGGGCTGGCCCCGTGGCCGAGTGGTTAAGTTCGCACGCTCTGCTGGAGGCGGCCCAGTGTTTTGTTGGTTCTAATCCTGGGCGTGGACATGGCACTGCTCATCAAACCACGCTGAGGTGGCAGCATCCCACATGCCACAACTAGAAGGACCCACAATGAAGAATATACAACTATGTACTGGGGGGCTTTGGGAAGAAAAAGGAAAAACATAAAATCTAAAAAAAAAAAAAATTGAAAATGGAATATTAAATAAATCCATGGGTTAAAAGAGAAAAAACAGAAGTATAAAATATTTAAAGCCAAGTGATAATGAAAGTACACATATCAAAACTTGTATGATGTGGCTAAAGCAGTACTTAAAGGTAACTTTATAGGCTTAAAATGCATTTATTGAAAAACAATAAATAAGCTAGGTGTCAACTCAAGTAGCTAGAAGTGGAAAGAAGAAATAATATAAAGAGGAAAAAAAGAAATGAAAACCAAAAAGTATAGATAAGAAAGAAGTTGTTTATATGAAAAGACTAAGTAGACCTCCACATTAATTAAGA